GTTGTTTTCATAGCTTTGCAATACTTGCTCTAGGGCACTGGTTACTGCATCGCCGCAGAAAATCCTCTCTGAAAACAAATCCGCTGTACCTTGTTCCTCTATGTTACATGCTGGCAACCCAGTCGTTGTATTTCGTTTTTCTGCTCCCATGTCAGAAATTCATGTGCTGGAGTAAATACGTAGCTCGATCAGATTGTTTACCAAGCATATCACCATTTTTTAATCTCTTCATCTATCAAAGTCACCTGTGCCTGAAAGAGAATAGTTGGTCCTTACGTTTCCCTTTCCTTTAACCCTTATGCTGCTGTATGCAGTTCAGCTGTCGTTCTTGTATGTTTGTTGGAATAACGGTCTCCTTACCTACAACGACACTGACCTGACAGAGGCAGGGAGCAGACGGATTTTCATGAGAAGACTCATTTCTCTTCCAAATATTAGACAGGCTTTCAAAAGCAGTAGAGGCTAGGGCGATCGTCCTATTTAATGGATGGTGTACTCATTGGAGATGATGGAGCCGAGATACTTAAACTGCTCAACCCTCTGTATTGCTTTACCTCCTTGTTCGACTTATAGATCGGCTTTGCCAGATGGGTTTTTCGTAACATTTGACTTATGGGCATTATGGAAGAGTCCGACTTTCGAAGCTGTGTCTTATACGGAGTCCGTCACCTGACTAGTAGCCCGCTTTCCATACTACTTACTCATCAGGACAATATCATCTACATGCTCCAGATCAGCAAAATATCTAGCCGGCTATCTTGAACTGCGCCTTACGTCTACTATGAGACCCTCGTCTTTAACAGGGCCAGCTCTGTTTCGGATAAGAAAGTCGAGAACAGTGTTGAATAGCACAGGCGGAAGCGTATCTCCCTGGTGAGCTCCACAGCTAATAGGGAACCATTCAGATAGCTCTCGTTCAAGTTTGACTGCAGGCATGGTTCTCACCTACAAGGACATCGTTAATAAACTACGAATCATTGCTGTAACAGGCCGATGCAATTTAGACGTGCGTATAATACCATGTAGCGACGGTCTGGTTAAGTGGCCCACTAGACTTCTAGAAACAACGTATTCTGCTGAATGGAGCTATGCTCTTATTAATACTGTGCTATGTAATGTCCACACAAATGTATTGCTGTATGCAATGTTAAACGAATTATGCGATATACAGTAGAATTTGCATGTGATGATGTAGTCTTCAGGTTCCCTTCATCATTAACTGTGAGAATCGATGCACCTGCATTAAAAGAAAACTCGCTAATTGATCTGTCTAAAACTTAATAAACTTGAATCGTATATTTAGTAAAATTAAGAAGGGCTATTGGCTGATATGTTATAGTTTCCGTACTTTCACATTGTCTAGCCAAGTTCTGACAGACTTTCTGAGTACAGTTTATTTCAGTGTCGCGTTAATTTAGCGCCGCACCTGCCGTCAGACAAACAGACTGGAATTTGTCCAGGATTTCCGGGGCTTGAAACAATGCTTCCTTTGTTGCTGAACGCTGTCACCGAGGGCTACTTGACTATCGAGGACATTGTTTTGCGCATGTACGACAACCCTAGAAAGATATTTCATCTTCCAGCACAAGAAAACACGTACGTTGAAGTTGATCTGGATCAATGTTGGAAGGTTCCTGGTCAGATGAAGTACAGCAAAGCGGGTTGGACTCCGTTCAGTCAAATGCGCCTTTATGGCACTGTTCGACGAGTTCTCCTTCGAGGCGAGGAAGTTTTCGTCGACGGAAAAGTAATGCACTCTTTCTATCGTTCCACCTAGCCGAAACTTTGACTCGTTTCAGATACTCGTGAAACCTGGTTTCGGACGAAACGTTAAATCGATGGTCATCGATGGCCAGAAGCCTGTCAACGCATCAGAGGTGATGGTAAAGGAGAAAAAATTCAGTCCAGTCAAAAGTTTATTTAAACAAATCCCAACGTCAGAATGTACGACGCAGCAACGCTGTCTAGTGCTTTTTTGTCGTCATGCTGTTACTTTAGACGAACCATCGAACCTTACTACCACCGTTCGATCTGTGGTGCCATTTATGAATCTGTTGGACGACTGCGCGCTTGCGCTTCGAAACAAGAGCATTATCAACGTCAATATGTTTAACAAGAAACTGGTAAAATTTTCGGGAATTAGTTTCAGCGCTGTTGTCTCTTCCGCAGCACGAATGATTCTAAACTTTGCCACCTGTTATTAAGCAGTTATGAATTTTGTATAGCCTGTTACGGGCACGGGTGCAAGATATAGGCGTTGTTTTTACCAATCAAACTACATTATTAAAGGATTATAAATGTATATGACAATTTCGTACCGTATAAACATAAAAGTATATTTGTACGCCGGAGTATGCCAAATAACACATAACTCTGCCAGCGTCCGGATTCCACGGCATATTTGGCATTGCAAGTACTGTAATATCGTGGAGCCGTGGCGTTCTTAGATGGCTTCTCTGAACAACTAGGAGCAAGGGGCAGTGTAATGCGCCGTGAAATCTGGACTTGAAGCTGCTGTGCTTTATCGTATTTTCATGTTAACTGCGATTGATGAAACTGTAGAACTTGTAATCCACGTAATAGTGTTTGTGTTTAGTCGTTATTCCCAATCATATCTTTTTCCATTTCTTGATTGCGCAAATCTTTATTTCTGGGCATACTTCTGGCAGTTCCGTGTGCCAATCCATCGGCACCGCTATGGATTGAAAATGATCCAATCTTATGCTAAAGCGGTAACGTTTCTTTTCGACCGCGTTATCGCAAGTTGGTATGGTTTTGGGTGAGAACGTTTTACCTCTTCATCAAATTAATAATGGGTCGTTGCTCAAGCCAAATTAGATTAAACAGTTAGAAAAAATGAAGCCTTTCCATGCGGAAAATTTGTTGTTCTGGTCGGAAATTTGTCTGACGCTCTATATCTCCGTGCGAGAGACATACGCTAAGTGTAGCGTCAAAAGTTTACTTCTTTACAACAGAACGAACTAATGTGACATCGATACATAATAAAGCACTCGCAGCAAGAATTCACTTCATCCAGTTTATGTTATATTTTCATTTAATCAAAAACGAACAGACCTTTTGGACTTTTTAGGGGTTGCTTTGCGTATGATGAGGCTCTTTACCAGCTTGATTAGAAAGTGGGAGTTACCAGAAGTTTTAATATCACAATCCGTTCTAACCGTGTCGGACGAAGAAACCTCAATCGTAATCCAGGATGTTACAAAACGGCATTGGAGTCAATTTGCGCTTTGCAAAACTTCCGTCTACTTGCGGCCGTCCGATCTTCATTAAATGCAGCTGCACGACACAGTGTAAAAGTAAAATATGCAATTGCCCGGGATGCAAGAATTTTGGACATTAATGTATGTAACGGTTCATTATCTTATGGTTGAGGATGATCAGTGGCGCAGTTTGTTGATAGCTTTACATGCACGTCAGAGTGCGGTTTCAAACACGTGCGGCGTGAATTTTCTCTCATTAACCGCTGATTACAATCAGCAAGGAATTCACCCATTGTACTTCAGTTCGATCAGTCGAAAAATTAGTTGCAGGTCGTTGGCCTGTCAATAATAGGGACATCATGGTGTTTTGGTGTGGTCATGCCAGAGAGTCAGCTGTATACGACCATGTTGTCTAATATGATGACTTCACGGTTGTAATTCCTCTTGACACATCTAATAGCTGACTAAAACTCAGCACGCGGTGTAAACGTGAATTTTGAAAAACTTATAATCTCCGTACTCAAGGTCAGCAAGATTTCTGACGAACATATTGAACCGCAATTTCCTCTAAAATGGGAGTTTCTTTGCCATGCCTGAAGAGCAATCGCTGATTGTGGATTACAACATTCATTGTATGGCTCTCCGAACATTTTAATCATTTATGTTTTGGATGCTTCTCTGTCCTCTCGTCTCAGGGTCAACTACCTATTCACGTTGATACGAAAGAATGGTTGCTACAATTGAATTTTTATCCTTTCTTTGTGTAACACTGCTTCGCGAACTGATAGAGTTACTGATCACCGTTAAACGGATTTTGCCGAACTACTCGATTGTTTGCAGGTCCCGTAAGCCGTTGCAGTCTGAACGCTGTTGACTCACTGTATGATACAGAGCTGTTATGGACCCGCCATCAATCCGTTCTTCTGGGAAACCGTGGTTTTCAGACACTCCTGCTTTAGTTGATGTTACACTGAATCTTATCCTAAAATTGAAAGTGCGTGCATCACAACTTTTTCCTAACGACTGTTTGATCGGCGTTCCGCATTTTAGACGAACTTGCACCCTTGGGTGGGTTGATTATTTTTAAAGGCCGCCTTATGACTAATCTCTTTCGTTAATCCATTACGAGTAATGCAATATGTTTTGTTTCTAGCTTCACCAATTGTTCAGTTTGGCACACTCCTACTACCTTGCTGTTCAGATGCACGATCCTCAGTTGAACGCTGTAATGAAGGTAAGCGTATGGCATAATTAAACATCTAGCACACATCATGTAAGT